ATATATTTACTCTAGAAAATGACCTTTTTGTCAAAGAAAAGAAGCAAAAAATAAAGAACAACAACAACAACAAAAATAGGCTGGGTTTTTTAGTTAAATGCTACCCACAGCAAATCAAAAATAAATATCTCAGGCTAGGTGACAGAGTGAGACCCTTTCTCAAAAACAAACAAAACCCACGAAATATCTGTTTATATATACAAAAATATCTAATTTGTTGAGTGGGAAAAAGTGAGAATCAGACACTGGGTTACAATTTATTTTCTTATATTTTGATTTTCTGACTTTCCAATTCAATTTAAGAGAATAAATCTGGGCTTCATGAAGCAAAACTATTTCCAGTGCAGTCTAACAGCACTGTTAACCCCTAACAGCTCAAGGGGCTCCATAGTCAGTCACAGCCTGCAGTCACTTCAGGCCACTGCAGCTTGCTCCTGTCCTATCACTGCAAGAAGTACTTGCTTTCGTTGGTCATCTAAACTCAAGTTGGATTTCGAAACAGTATTTTTCTACCTTCATATTTTTGGCATGAAGCCTACTATCTAATTTCTAATAATTAGCTAAATACACTAGTCTGTTAAGATACAGCCTTGCTATCAATGCCAGAGTGAAAACCACTGATATGAATGAGTATCATTCTTAGGCAAGGAGTTTGTAATCACTGAAAATTAGGGAAAAAAAAGACATTTCTTAGTCCTTAAAAATAAATCTTAATAAAAGGAAATGCATAAGTATATCATCTCTATAATAAATCTATAAAAGCAAAATATGTGATCGTCATTTATCCATAGTTAGCAATTTCTCTCCAATTATAGCTTTTCTGCAGAAATGAGTCATACTATATCCAGATAACTTTATAAATTTGCATTTTCAGTAATAAATAGCAGGAGTGACAGATGCTTTCCAGTCACTATTTTTGGGTTTCCACATCCACTGAAAGCAAACTCATAGACTGCCTCTTCTACAGGTAGGCTGAAGTGGGGTAATTTAATGGGACTATATAGTTAATAAAGGATTGGAAAAATAATTAAATCTCAAGAAAATCTGAGTAGAAAATGCAGTCTTAACAATGATTATACAGCAAATATGATAAAAAAAAGTGTTAGATTTCAGCTGTTCAACTTAATAATGTAATATCTAAGGAAAAAAATAGTCCAGTGGATTTCAAGACTCTTCAGTCAGTGATTTTCATTGTTTTGTGCTTTAGAAGTTAAGAATAGCCCACCAGGGATTGACAATGTCATCTTACAGAATGCAATAAGCAATCTTGCCTCCCTGAACAATTAACAGAAAAATAAAAATTAGAAATGACATGACTTTCTGGCACCATATTCACTGTGTAGGGAAATCATAAGAGTGTGAAAGAGCTTCTTTGACCTAGTGCAATGGTATGATTATATGGACAACCCTTATGCCGGTTTAATTTTAGCACTATCTGAGTCCTGAAAAAATACCTATGCACAGATGGGTGATATGATCTGGCTGTGTGTCCCCACCCAAATCTCAACTTGAATTGTAGTCCAAATTGTAGTCCCTACATATTGGGGGAGGGACCTTGTGGGAGGTGATTAGATCATGGGGTGGTCCCTCCATGCTGTTCTTATGATTGTGAGTGAGTTCTCATGAGATCTGATGGTTTTATAAGGGTTTTTCCGCCCTTTGCTCATTCTTCTCATTCCTGCTGCCATGTGAAGGAGCACATATTTGCTTCCCCTTCCGCCATGATTGTAAGTTTCCTGAAGCCTTCCCAGCCAGTGCAGAACTGTGAGTCAATTAAACCTTTTTCCTTTATAAATTACCCAGTCTCAGGTATGTCTTTATTAGCAGCATGAGAGTAGACTAATATAGTGGGGGAAAAATGCATTGTAATTAGCCTCTAACAAATATAATTTATAGAATGAAAACTGGCTGTCACTACCAGATCCCTTCAGACATTTTATATCACTTAAGGCCCTAGATAAATGTTTTTCTCGTTGCTTTTCCATATGACTTTACCTGGCTTACTCTTACTCTGCCTTCTAGATCTGGATTATGTACCTTGCATTCAAGTGTGCTTCCTGCCAACTACTCAGATTGGGCTTCCTGACCCTCTCCATTTTTGAGCTTCCTGTACATGTTTCTGTGTTTATATCTTATCATTTGTGGCAAAAGCTGTTAGTTTCCCTTCCTACCAGAACTAGCATATTATTCAGAGTGTCAAGGTACCCCACTCAACAGGTTACTAAACGTTATTAATCAATTATTCAGCTTGTCTTTGTTCCATTTGATATTCACTATCCAAGCTTTGCTTGCCTAGAAGGATGACCAGGTGATCCACTTATGGGCAGGGATATATTAGGAGAAGTCTGTCTGAGGGTTTCTGAGCAAATCTTCCTTCTGTTTGAAAATAAATAAATAAGTTATTCCTCTTTCTCACAGATGGCTTTCTGCCTTTGGAGTTGATATGTGTATGATATTTGACTCTACTGTAGCCATGTTTAAATCAAGTGGCAACAAGATGAATAAAGGTGACAGAGTAGAAGAAGGGAAAACACTTCATTCCTTGATGACATCATTAACCTGCCATTAAACCAATTCTGAAAGTGAGTGCAGTGTCCCTGTTAAGTAAATAAGAAGTGCCTTTATGCTTAAGAAAAAAATGATTTATTTGTGTATTTTTAAAAATAACAACTACACTGAACTGAAAAGCTTGCATAAGAAATATGTTTAATACTCCTAATATCTATCTTATTATTATAATAATATATTATTACTGTGTATGTAAATGTCAGTGTAACTTAGATTAAAAATTTATATCCATCCTCCCAATTTAAGATTTTAAAGTCATAATGATTACAATCTGATTGTTGATTGACCTGAATCTTTGATTTATTAAATTGCCTTAATGGATGTTGCAGAGATGTCACTACTAATTTTGTTATAAATTCAAATCCTTATTAATGCTGACACTCCATATAAATATGTAATATGTTAACTTTACCTGTGCTGAAAACTTCTGTTTCTCAGCATTTTATGAAATCATGTTGACTCTTGACTTAGTCATGAAAAATAAACAACATAATAGAAAACAAAACAGTAAAAAGTAAACGTTGTTCTGACCACATAGGTACAATAATGACAGTGATAATAAGCAAAAGTCAATGTATATTATGTCTTTAAGTGTTTTCAATACTTTCCAATTGTCAGTTATTTAATTTTATCAAAAGGTGATGGCGGTTAACTAAAAACATACTGCTACTAATATGCTTTAATGAAATAAACACAAATGTAAATACTGCTTAAAAACACATTGACCTTAGACATAAAACTTCTATAAGTATAACAAATGTATTTGAGAAAGAAGAAATAGACTGAAGAAGTATTCGTAACCCTTAAAAGGAACTGTCAAAAAAAAAAAAAAGACTCTTAAAACCATTTACAGCTTTAGATGTAGAATATATTTATCTTTTTCAAGACAGGGTTTCACTCAGTCACCCAGGCCGGAGTGCAGTGGTACAATCACAGCTCACTGCGCCTCAACCTTACAGGCTCAAGCAATCCTCCCACCTTAGCCTCTCAAGTAGCTGGTACTACAGGCATTCACCACCAGGCCTGGCTAGTTTTTGTTTTGTTTTGCTTTTGTGGAGATGGTGTTTCACCATGTTGCCTAGGCTGGTCTATAACTTATGGGCTCAAGCAATCTGTCTGCTTCAGCTTCCCAAAGTTTAGATGTACAATTTAAACTGCACTGAGTATGAGAAATAGGCAAAATATGCTTGTAACTTTAAACAAATTATGCATTTTTGTAGTGATAAATTGGAACTTGGTAAAACACTATCTGTGACTAGTCTATAGTGGTTCTGAAATATTTTAGTCTTGAGAGCAACTTATATGCCTACAAAATACTGAGCACTCTAGAGAGCTTTTGTTTAGGTGGGTTACATCTATCAGTATTTACTATATTAGAAATTAAAACAGAAAATTTTAGAATACAAAGAATAATGGGATCACTCTTTACCTATTATAAATCAGAGCACTAAAGCCATCACCCATGATATAGCCTTTGAGTTTTCATCTCCACCCATAAGAGAATAAGACTAGAAAAAAAAAAATGCCTTAGTAGTATTGTGAAATAATTCTGAACTTCCAATCCCAAGGAGTTCCCAGCCCTTACTTTGAGAACCAATGGACTACAGTAGTAAGAGGAAAAGCTTGGAACAAAATGGATAGACCAAAAGTTGCTAGGAGGTACATTGTTTTTCAGGTTATCATACAAAAAGAACAATTGATTAGAGAAAGAAAGATAAAGGCTGAGATTCTGCTGAAACCCCTGCAACGTGGAAAATGCTTTTCTAATTCAGTTTAAATTTGGCAGTGCTCATGGGTCCATTAACTATCATGAAAACTGCAAGATGACTAAGTTATCTAAAAGTAGAATATCTGATATAATTTAAGACTTGCCTTGAAGTCAATTTTATCTCTTAGAAAGTAGACATAAACAGAGGCATGCTTACTCCTGGCTTAATTCTGATAAATAAGGAAAATACTGATGCTTGTTTATGTGTAAGTGATAGGAACCACTGGAAGACACAAGTTTCTCGTCTTTGAAATAATAAAGAAAAGAAATTATTGTCAGACAGAAATGTGGGGGTGAACAGAGACCAACATTTCCAAGAATGAAAATGTAGTTTTATTGCCAGAATTTCTAAAAGGTAGGAACAATAAAGGAAGGGGGAATTTCCAGAAGTGGAAATGCCATAGTACAATTAAATATAAAGCTGGTAACGAAAAAGTAGGGTACATATCTTGCAAAGAAATTGATTTCACAAGGAGGTTGACAAGTTTGGAGCTATGAGTAAAAAAAATAAAATTTACAAAGAATGAATCAAGCAAGAATAGAGGAAGGGAGGGAGGGTATGAAAAGACAATAAATACAATTACGATTCAAGGTCTGAATCATTCAGCTTAAATATGCCACTGAAATTCACAATGTAATTGTAAACATTATAATTTACGTATGCTGTTTTAGTGCATTTTTTTGGAAGGAGGGTAGAACTAAATAATCTTTTAATATTTTTACTCACATCTTTATCTTCATGCCTTTTCCCCCCTTTCCTTTATAGGTTAAGTTTCTATCACATTAAAATATACCTACTTCGCTTATGAGTTTTGTGTGATTTTTAATGTGAATTGATGAAACATTTCTGCTTATAACAATACTGTAAAACCAGATTTATAATCCATCCTCCTTCCATTTATTTATCCCTTGTATGCTATTTAGATGTTATGTCTGTACAATAAAATTGTTTTTAAAAAAATTAATGATATTTGTTTTCATCACAGAAACCTGGTAAAAATGGGCTGATATTTGCATTTAAGCAAATTTACTGATCCTAAATGGATAAAACTCAGTAAAATCTGAAAGGAACAGATAATACAGATAGCTACTTTTTGTCTATTTCCATTTGCTCTATTTTTTTCTTTCTTCTCCTCCACCTCCCCTTGTTTCAGTTATCTTATTGAACACTCTGCTTATCACTTCTTCACTTCTATTTATTATGCTTATGTAAAAGATTTAACCAGAAGCCAGTTTTCAAGATGTTGGTTGCAATAAGAAACTGTTGCAAATAACTGGTGGTTGCTGTGATAGCCAAATTTGCATTTGCACAGTTTACAAATACATCTTCCTTTGCAGAGATACTTAGCTATGATTGAACAAACCATTTTACACAGTACATTTCCTCCTAAATACATAGGTTGTGCATGTGGGCACTGACCAAAGGATTTCAAGGACAACATAAAATGTTTTTATCCATAGATCCTCTGAACATAAAATAGATTATTTAAATGTTATAAGTAGAAGGTGCCAGTTATTCATCTCCCCTTGGTCTGAAGGAGCAAGGAAAGTTAGATGTTGTTATTACATTGCTATAGTGGGTGACTGAGCATGAACTAAAGGCTGCATTAATGATGCAGTGATTTTACTCTGGCTTTAAAAAGGAAAGGTGTAGGTGTTCATATACAGGGGAACAGAATGTTTCTCCTTGTTATCATTAGTATATGCCTAATCTAACCATAATTTAAGCCTTGTAGTCCTATAAATGTGGTGACCGTATGTCTTGGCCTCTCCAGGATGGAGCTGGTTTATAATGGTTAATCTAGAGCAATTATTATTAGTGCCCCGCTTTACTCCTCCAATTGCCCTAGTTTGGAAGATAAATTACATGGAGACATTATGTATAAAGGGACTGATTTGGAATGGGATGAGTCAGGGAGGAGGTGATGCTGGAGAGAGATTATTTTAATAGTATTATTATTTTAGTTGGCTAAAATATGTTCCGTGATTTTGTTGCCAGAGTGCTGTATTTATGAAGAAGTTAGCTGACTGTCTTGCTGCTTTTTGCATGCAGGCTTGTGAATAGAAAAAGGTACAATTTGTTTCTCTCTCAGATAGGAAAAAAGAGAAGAATGGCTTCTCCAAGCAGTGCTGGCCTTGGATTAAGCATCAGATTAATGCAGGAGAAACACATGGGCTTTGGCATCAGATGAATGTGGTTCACCTTTGTTCTGACAAGTAGCAGCTGTGAGACTTGGGCAAGTTTTAATTAGACTCTTGCCCTAAGCCCCAGATTCCTCAGCGATGAAACAAGATGACTGTACGTACACCTTCCAGAATTGCTGGGAATTTTGGAGACAATATCTGTGATGTGCACAGTCAATGTAAAAACTGCTCCTGTCACTGTTAGGCTATCAGCATACATCAAGCACTACTGACAACTAGTATTTACTATTCGCTTCCCATTTAGGCTTGATGTAGGCTCCTTCCTTTCATTATGTAACATAATCTTTAAAAAGTAATCATTATCTGTTATTTACCCATGAGAACATTGTGACTCAGAGAATTTACCACACATATTCATCTTCACGGGGCTTGTAACTTGTCAAATCAGGTTCACAGTTTGGTTTGTTTAAAAACATTGTTATATTCTTAATCTCCGCATTACTTAGGACTTAAACTCTCTAAAGATGACCTGGTGTTTTCATTTACCACTGTATCATCAGCACCTGGAATGGTGCAAAAACAAAACAAGAACAAATAATGGAAACAACCATAAGCATTTATGACAGCAAAATACTTACATATTATCTTAATAAATGCCAGTAAGTTGTAGATTCCCTTATCCTGTTTTGCTCTGATGTTGTCAATTTTTTGTTTCAAATACATATGAGAGATTTTTTTACCTACAGAAAAATTTCTATTTTCTCTGATTCAGCAAAACCATATACAGTGGTTTAGAAAGAAGCACCCAAGAGGCAACTAAAGAAAGCAGTGTCTTAGAAAAACAGGGTTTATGTGTTCATCTCAGAAACAAGGCACATATCTCACTTACAGCCTAAAAGATACACTTAAAAGCATTAGAGGGTAAAACCTTTCCAATGGAGCAATGTCCTACTACTAAATGACTTTCATCATTTCTCCTCAGAGATGGGAAACTTTTCAAAGTTTAAAATGCTAGCAATACTAACAAAGCAATGAAAAAGGCAGCAATAAATATGTTCAAGCGTAAATACATCTGAGAGAGAAGAAAATGTTCCAGGAAGAGGATTAGGAATGCTCCCTGACAGAATCTCTTTCTTCTAATCTATGCTCACTCTTGCATGCTAAATACTGTGTTCAATAAGGGACACAGGTTTGGACTCACTAATAGAGAGACTTTCTTTGTTATTCTAAATGTATTCTATAACTCTGTAGCAGAGAAGAACCAATTGTGTGGCCTGGCCTTGGGCAGCATTCATCCCATTGCAGTCACAGGGGAAATCCTGAGAAGGGGGCTCTTGTTTTTTAATGTTGTTGCTGTAGCTGTAATTTTCATGTGAGCATAAAACTTAATTTAGAACATTTCAGTGCATCATAACTTAAACATCTCATTGAGACATCTACAACATTCATAGGAAGATTGCTTGGAGTTTAACTCATTACAATGTATTAGATATGATCTAGGATTATCATTGATTTTTAACATTAAAGCTTATTATGTTGATAATTTAACATAAAGAGCTGTAATCCATCAGTTTTGGTATTTCTGACATCTCTGATTGTTTAGCATAAAACAAATTTTTATTTTTGTAGCCACTGGAAAAAAATCCCTCTGATGGCTCTCTTTACATCTTTAAATTACATGTCCTTTAATAGTATAATGTAACTTCATTTAAGTAGTCTATCATATTTCTGTATTTTAAACATTGTTAGAGAATATAAATCAGGTTCACTAGTGAATTATGTGATCGAGATAAACAATTCTGATTTTAAGCAAAATACAAGTGAAAATATCCTCAATAGAAACAAAGTTTGATTGGCAGGGATCACTTTTCAAGGGTAGAGAAGCAGAAGGAACTTTGTTATGATTACTGAGGAATTGTCTCCATTCACCATTCCTCGACAGGGACTACAGAACTTCCATGTTAGTAAATGCAGCATAAAAGAACTATTTGTTTCTGGATATACATTTTCATAAACAGGAGGTAAGGAAGCTAAAATAATGGAGACACATGGATACACTTTGGCTTATATTCCTTTAAAAATTGGAAATGTTAAACATAATTACAGTCTTTGGTTTTAGTTTGTTTTACTTTCATTAAATAGTAGAACCTACTACAAACATTTGGATAGCTCCTTATGAAAGTCTAATTGCTTTGAGTCTTGAATAACGAAATGCAAATGCATGTATTATTCTCTTCTTCCCATCCCTCACTGCTTTCCCCCACTCTCTCTTTTTGTCCCTTTCGTCTTCTGCCTTTTTTTTTCAACTAGTAATTATGGAAGTCACGTACACGAAATCACTGAATAGGCTTAAGTTAAATGGCATTAGGTAGTAAACATTTTCCAGCATCAAAATTACTGTTTCTGTTTCACTTGATAAATTTTTGCTTTTAAGATTTTTCTGGGGAAGAAAAAAAGTCTGCACTGATATATAAGGACAAAAATATTCCTATTTCTAAGGCTATAGAAACATATTTAGGAGATTCTGTGAAGTAAAGCAGACAGTATAGACATGCTTCCTATGTCAGGATTAGGCAATATAATGGAAAGAATATATAAAAAAATAGAATCAGAGTGCAGCGAGAGAGAGGAAGAGATTTAAATAAGGATGACTATGTGTGGACTGGATTGGGTAGAGGCGGAGAGATTTAATGCTTGAATTCATACAGACTTTGATAAATGAAAAAAAGGAGCCAGGAAGCCAACATAAATGTTTATAAATATAATAAAATAAATGCAGGGTGTAAGATTTAAAATATATGTCAATGGAAAAACATCTTTAACATTATTTTCCCTTACTTTGAATTGCATGGTCATTCAAACATGATTTAAGCATTTGCTGTATTTCAAATGCTAGAGATTGAAATATAGCAAATATATTTACATATTTAGCTGTGCACTAATTGTTCTCCTCCCTGCTTTTTTCCTATGAAAACACATTTTGGAATGCAAAGGTAACAAACTATACTTCCAGGAATTCTCTTCCACAATTGGGCTCACCATGAATGCTGTAAGTTTTATCATATTTTCTACATCTGGACATTATTGCAATCTCTGACTTGATCTCTTAATCCCTAGGTGTTCCTTTAATTTGTCACCTGCACCAAAACTAGATTTCTCTGACATATTCATCCCCAAAATTGAAAGCCACTGGATTAAGAAAACCAGTTATTATAATAACATTCAAGTGTAGACATAGGCTCATGGGCAATCTATATATTCAAGATTATCCCATTTTTATTGCTGAATCATGAATTTGAGATGGGAAGCAGAACATGTTTGGAACATCTGTGTTCTCATCTATGGCATTCAACAACATCAGTACCTAATACTTTAGCTAGTCCCACTGGTCTAAGTATAACCCTCCCTGCCCCAAATCCCTAGTAGACACATATGCCTACTCCGCATTCTGAAAAGTTAAACCTGGCAATCCTATTTTAAGGTTCCCAGTAGTCACCTAACAGCAGTGAGAAGCAGCAGCAGGAAAGAATGAGCTTTGTCTGCCTTTCCCCTCTCCTGAGCAGATGGTTGGCTAAAACTCACTTCACACGGGAAATCAATTTTAGATTTTTAACTTGGATATAAAGTAACAAATATAACTGCCAAGTAAGAGAAAAATAGCCTTTGTGTTTATTTTTATCTGTTGTTATAATTATGGAAAGATAAAAATAGAAGTGTATTTCTGAAGTCTTTTATGTTTTTTTTTAAATAAAGCTCAATGGCAATTTTTAAAATGACATCTTGAGGAGGGCTTCAAAGGAGAAATGTAAGTCTCTATATACAGATTAGCATCCTAACATCGATTTACAGATATCAAACCTATAGCATGTTCTTAGGTTTTGAAATGGTTGAGAACAGCAAATTATATTCATATACAACTAATGAACAGTTAGATGTAATCCCACAAGTAATGCTGAACATTCCTGAGTGGCCACAGGAAACTACAACTTATGCCAATGTCACTTTCTGATTATTTGGATTAGTATCATGGACATTTTTAGGGCCAGATGTTACTGTTCAAAATGAATGATTTCTCATGTTCCCGAAAGCGGAAGACCAGATATTTGGAAATGCTCCAGCCATGGCAGTCTCACCTAAATCTCTTGCTGAGCAGGTTAGCTCCTGCAGGACAGAAATGTTGCTGAGTATAAGGCTGCTATGAGGAAAGTGAGAAGCTGAATATCGCTCTCTGAATCAGGGGACTTTGGAAGAGATTATGACTTAGAATCACATCATTCTTTTTGCCCTACAATTTTAATGTTGTCAGCTATCATAGTAGAAGATAAAATGGTGATTTTTTTTCCACCTAAGGAAGATACAATATTTTTAGTTATTTTTCTTCCTATAACTCTGTTACCAAATAATCTGAAAAACTTCTAAGAAATGGACTGTATCAATAATGAGATGTTTTGAAACCTACATTTTCAAAAAGAAAAATTACCTAAGTGCTGACAGAATTCTCTCAGCAAATTCAGCACTTGTTTCTGTTATTCCTCATAATGGTAACAAGTGAATTTTCAAAGAAGCAATTTCATCTGTATTATATTTTATTTCATTTTATCTTTGATTTTGCTCTTAAATTTCTGAAATTTATTCATATCATAGGAAAAGAAATATTTTGTACTTCTTACTGGCTCCACAATTCTACATGATGGCTGGCATCCAATATTAATGGAGGCTTTCTTTAAATGGGATGAATTGGATAATCACTTATTGGTGCAGTGGCTTAAAATATTTTTGATTTTTTTTAACTTTGATTAAATGTTATAGAAAATTTTCTGAAATGCAGACTGTTGTAATTTTGAGGATTTTGAAGAATTGTACTCTGTATATATATATATATATATATATATATACATGCATATACTCACCCTGTTGCCCAGGCTGGAGTGCAGTAATGTGACCACAGCTCACTGCAGCCTCAGCCTCCTGGGTTCAAGAAACTCTCCCACCTCTGTCTTCTAAGTAGCTTGGATTACATGTTGCATGCCACCACACCCAGCTAGTTTAAAAAAAAATTTTTTAGACATGGGGTCTCACAATTTTGCCCAGGCTGGTCTCAAACTCTTGGGCTCCAGTGAGCCTCTTTCCTCAGTCTCCCTAATTACTGAAATTAAAATACTTCACCCAGCCTTAAGAATTATAATTTTGAAGATGTTTGAATTTGATCACTGAAGATAGACAGATAGACACATAGATGATGGATAGATAGATAGATAGATAAATAGATAGACATCCTAAAATAAACACCTTGGAGGCAGTAAGACAAATTTAGTATGTTGCATATAAAAATGGATTTATCTTGTGAAATGTTTACAACTTTTACCATGTAAGGTCAACCTCATCTGAAGGTTTATATGTCAATGTTGATCTAGACAGCTACTTATGAATGTACCAATGGCTAACAAAATCCAACATTATTCACTAGGATGGGGGCGCTGCTCCTATATAAATGGAAATAGCATTCTGCAAACTATTTTCAAGGCACTCAAAACTATTTTCAAGTCACTGTTCCTTTAGAAACCACAAACAAATTCTAATGATCTACATGAGGAACATAAGAACATATATCAACTAATTATCTGCTGTTGACCTTTTCATGGGAGAACACACATATAAAACTGTCAAGCCTAGCTTGAAAGCAGACATTAATGTTTGGGATTTTGTAAAAGTTACACTCAAAACTCAGAGTTACACTACATTAAGAAGAACATCTCTGACTAGCCCTTTCCGTAGCAGAAATGTAAGACAGGCAAGGACAGAAGGATTTTTCTAGAACACATCATTCTTTGGATAGAGGATTTAGTTATTTCTATTGCTACTCCATTTATCATAGTATCCTTGAAGTCACTCTTTAACTATTTATACATTTAATAGTAGAGTATTTAATCTTAAAGACTTTATTCTCCATCAGCTGCGATAGATAATTAGTAGCCTGAATATAAGATACAGTCAGATAATTGAACAATGTTATTAACACTCTTTTTTCCTCAGGCTAACAGTCTGTCCATACCAATACTAGTGTCCAAACACTTGTATTTAATTTTAGTTGTTTCTATTTATTTTAGTTACTTTATTTGGCCCCTTCCCAATTTTTGTCCTTCTGCTAATTGAGTAAAAATAACCTGGCATGACTTTGAGTGGACTGGAGGCTGAATGTGGAAAATTGCCCTAGATGTAAAAAATGGTTTTTAGGGAAAGTTAAAGGCACTGCTTGAGCTAAACAAACACACACAGGAAAAATGTTCATTATTTGCTGCTCCTATACATGAATAGGTATTTTCAATGGAGTCTGTAGAGATTCGGATTAGCAAGCCTTGTTACTGTTAACAAGCATCGTATACCTATTTCCAAGTACCTTGTTCTGCCCCTTGACACCTACCCATTTGACTTAAACTGTCAAAGGCAAGGAATCTTACCAGGAAAAAAATGCAAATGCTTCTAAATAATTCTCTCTCTTATAAGCTTCAGGCTACTGTTTCTTGATTGTGTGTGTGCGTGTGTGTGTGTGTGTGTGTGTGTGTGTGTGTGTGTGTGTGATGGTCTCACTCTTACTGCCCAGGCTGGAATGCAATGAAGTGATCTCAGCTCATGGCAACCTCCGCCTCCTGGGTTCCAGTGATTCTCGTGCCTCAGCCTCCCGAGTAGCTGGGATTACAGAAATGTGCCACCATGCCTGGCTAATTTTGTATTTTTTTTGTAGAGAGGGGATTTCTACTTGTTGGTCAGGCTGGTCTTCAACTCCCAAGCTCAGGTGATCCACCGTCCTCAGCCTCCCAAAGTGCTAGGATTACAGGCGGGAGCCACTGTGCCCGGCCTGTTTCTTGATATTTAAATACTCAAGTTGTTCCTAAAGAAACTATAAAATAAAATCATTGCAATTCTAATAGCTTTATAATTAAGATATGTGTTTTTCTATGAATCTCCCTATACATATGTCACAAATTTAATATATAAGCAACTGTAAATATATATATATATATATTTCTTTCAGATTATATTGTCTAAGTATCCTCAAACTTCAGACTATTTTTTGTTTGAAAAATCTGTATATATTGAGCTATAATAAATTGAAGAAAAATAAATAAATATTTGTATGACTATACTATGCATCTACGACAGAGGGAAAATGAACAAAAAATGTATGGCCTCTAAACATTTTGGCCAAAGTAGCTCCTGAAGCAGCTTCACATGCTTAGTTTCAAATTTTAAACTGGTTACTTTGGTAGGTTATCTTCAAATGTGGTTATTTTTCTTTCTTATATAAAATTCTTATCTAGATAATGAATATATATTTTTTCATTGAAATACCTGGAAACCCAAAGAAAAAAAATTACATTTATATCTTAAAAGATTAAAAAGAAGACTACACTAGAAAAAAAATCAAAGACGAGACATGTTTTTTATATAGTTCATTTATTTTCATCTCTCTCCTAACACTTTAAATTTCACTCTGCAATTTGGAACAGATTTGATCAACTTGCTTTCATGTGTCAGTGTTTTTCATCTGCAATGAAAATAAACAAATGGGTTTGGTTTTCTACAAAATTGTGGAGATGCTGACTTAACTACGAAAGTTATTTACTTTGGCATATGTCACTTTGTACAGCTCTTACAGAATAAAGTAGTGTCTGGTGATCCAGAGTTTACATGAAATTGTCTTGTCTGCTTCAGGTTCCTCACATTAATAAACTCTCTTTTGACTAGGAAAGAGCATAGTTCTTTACAACTGAACGCTTTCATTTTAGAAAGCTTAGGAGGTATGTATTACTTTACGATGGATCCTAAGGTAGATCTTATTTTAACTTTATGGAAACATAAACATGTTTACATTGTGCAGTTGAGCTCTGTATGGCCTATAAAAATAGCTAATGAAGTCCAGGAGTTAAAGAAGTTTAAAGGCTTATAGTTTTTGCTGGATGCTATTAAATACTGCTGAAAATGTGGAACATATGTTATTTCTGAGAGATAAGACTTGCTCATGTGATTAAATTGCTGATATAATTCTTCTCACTATAATTTGTTGTCAGCTTTGAAAGTATAATATTTCAACATGAAAACTATTATGTCATACTTTTATTTTGCCCCCCAGATAATAAACAGATTTGAATTTTAAGAATAAAATTGTTACAGATGCATGAACAAAGCAAAATGGATATCTGTTTTCCTGTATGAAGAAATAAACTGACAAAAATAAGACAAAAAATAACATCCGAAAGCACAAAAATAATGTACTGTTAATATAACTAGCATTGCTCAGAGGAAGATATTCATAACATCTTAGCTATAGATACGGTGTTAATAGATCAAAACCTTGATTCTGAAAATGTGCATGAGGGAAACTGATGAGATTAGATAGAGGCCAATATTATATTGGGGTTAAATTTTTTAAATAGGCAAGATGAATACATTTTAGATGCTAATTTTGTTTTAAAATGTAGCATTCTGATTAATGTTATCCTTAAATATTAAACCAAACTCAGTTACCCTCCAACATTTTCTCACCTTCCATCCCTCACCTTTCTAATCCCTTTACTATACTTTTGTTATTCAAAAGAAAATATCTGTGCTATGAAATAAAAGCCCAGGAGAGTGTTTATAATGAAAACAGTATTTGCTAAAATATTTTCCCCAAAATCCATCTGTTCCTGAAATCATTTCAGGTTCATTAACCACCGACTCTGTATTGCCACATTTGTGTCTATATCATAAGTGTCATCTCTTCAGGAGTAAAATTCATTGCGTGTCAATTCCTACCAAACACAAATATATACTACTACAATGTGGCTAGGTAGCATCCAAACAATGTATAACAATCATTAGATTATTTTGCTACACAATGTTCTACCTTTTGCTAAAGAGTGTTCTTACATTCCCTTACTCTTCTGTCTTTTTTAGAAACTGCTTCCTGTTTCTTTACTTCTTTCTACCCCTACTCAACTAGAAATAATGAAAGATACATATCTTAAAGGAAGATAGGTAAGAATGTCAAGAAAATAAAATAGAGACGTGTAAAATAAGAGAAAAATAATCATAGGAAAAACTCAGATACCTGAAAGAAACATTATTACCTTACCTAATGCATCTAAAAGATAAAAAAATGAAAAAGCATAAATATAAGTTTGTTATATTAATATACTGGGAGGTTACAAAGTAATTCATAAGAATTCACATAGTATTTCCCTTTTCAAAAAATAATAAAAAAATTGTTAGAAAAGACGTAGTGTCTTAACCCATCAAAATTTTTCCTGATTACTGTCACAAGTTTGTTATTGGTTTCCCTTGGAATCTTAGACTACAGCAAAACATTAACAGTTGTGAAGCCAGAGGAATGCCATATTACTAAATCCTAAATGTTGCTTCAGTGAATTCCAAACCGTGTTAGTATATTTTACCATTTTGGTGGGATAGGAAAAGAAGAGGGGAATTTTTTTTTATGGGCACTCTGAATAAAGTATAACCTGAGTATTCTGAAACCGTCTTCTCTTTCAATGGTAGCAATCAAACTCCAAAGGAGATAACATCTGGAGACTATTAGTCCATGTGCCCCAGGAATATGGTGTATATCATTAGCCCATGGAAGAAAGCTTACAGAAAAAAAGGAAAAGAAAAACTTACCTGAAAAAATACCAAAATTCCTACATATTCTGCTTCAGATCATATCCAGGACCCCAAGAGCCTACCATACAGGCAGGAGACTTCAAGATGTAATATCAAGCCCAATGTCTTCCAAAAATCTAATTTAATACTTTTATAAATGTCTAAATGAGAGTAATTAATGCCCTAAGATAGAATGTTATTTTCAGAAGTCAACATTAATTATAATGCACATTGCTCTGAATCTATATTAGTTTGCCCACTTTGA